CAAAACTGTCTTCCACGAATTCGGGACTACGTTTTGGGAGTAGGAGTACCGGAAAAGACGCGTTAAACCGATGTCAATTCCAGAGCATACGACTTTAGCACAATAGGAAGGACTCCATCAGACCCACTTGACTTGCTGACGTCCAGGGAGAAGAGTGCTTTGCGTCTTCCCCCCGTCATCGAGAGTCGAGTTGAACGCAAAGATAGAGCGTAACAGATCGGCTTTCTCCTTTGCGACATGGGCCAGTGAGTCGCCCTCTCTGTGCAGAAAAAGAGATCACTGATAGAAGTTCTTTTGGACAGCCTTGGCGAGAGACCAGAATGCACGGGTTTCCGAAGGAAGGCGAACTAGCTTTTCGCCAATTCTGCCGATGTGCTCAGACCTTGCTTTGGCAATTACTCTTTTGAGAACTTGGAGGCGGAATTATATTTCTTTTTAAGAGTGCTTGCGTTTACATCCCGAGACGTTGATGCGTCAGCCCAGGCCCGGTAGCAATCCAGCTTATAGCGTGATGTTATTTTACAGGAGTTAACAAATAATGTTTGGGATTTGCCCCCGATGGGCACCTCAGAGAATGGAATAAAAAGTTTCATACCCTGAAGTATCACATCAGCGACAGAATCAGCAACAACCCTGGGATCGTCCTGCGAGAAGTAAACCCGTCCCCAAGGGAAGAATGCAAAGAAAGATCGCATCCTATCCCAATCGGCCGACCTATAGTGCCAAACATGGCGGCAGCCTGCGGTATTATGGTCCGACGAACCTTCAGGGGCGTCGACGGAAACCTGATATCCGTCCGGATTAGAGGTCAATAGAAAGTCCAACGGGAAGGTGCATGATCCTCCACATCTGGAATCCGCGTAGGCGAAATAACCAGCCGTGTAAGACCAAATGCCGAGGCAAAGTCATAAACAGATGTCCCCGCATGATCGGTTAAACGTGAGCCGAGCCATTCGGCGTGGTGGACGTTAAAATCGCCAAGGATTACGATCTCTGCATATGGGATTTGCTGTAGCAAAGAATCTGTAGCCATTTGGACGCGGTCGATGAGTCGTCTGGTTTGGACGTCGACTGATTCTCAGTTAAAAAGACCAAGGCCGGCTTCGCCGTCCCTAGATGGTAGTGGATCAGGTTGCAATGAAGCCCCCTGATGTTGCAAAAATTCACGGATAGCGTGACAGGGGTCTTATTGCTCCGCTTGCCCTGAGCAGTATTATTCGCGACCCAAAATCGCCTTCCCCCCAGAGTACATGCGGCAGATTGAGAGCACCCATGCTCAGGAAGAGTAGGATAGCGTGTATGCTCAACAAGGGATTCTCCGACACCAGGGATGCTACCCTCCTGGGCTAGTTTTTATTTAATTCCGCTACCATGTTAAGGGAGGAGGGGGTGAATTGGGCCTCCGGCCACCTGCACTTGCCAAGAGAAACGCAGAGATGAACCTCTACTTCACGCTGGTGGCTCTACCACTATTATAATAATAAATATTAATGATATAAAACATACAACAAAATAATATAGAATACAATAATATATCATGTAGTGTCAGTGTAAAGTTCACTTTTCACGATGAGATATAATATAATTTGTATTACATCTCAAGATATAAATAATATTGCTCACCGCACTTTTTAAATGAAACCGTGTACACTGATATATATATATACAATATGTAGTGTAATTAACGCACACCCTCCGACACCCCAATAAGTATATTATGTTAAAATCATAATACATACACTGAATTTTAGTTAAACATTTTTATGTACTGATTATTTATCAAATTAGTTATACTAATTCCGAAGAAAGTTGTGGCCATAGTACAAATCCAGGAACGCAAAGACTTTAACGTGCTTGAGATAAAGTTCATTTTTCTTTTTTTTATTGAATGACAGAATTAGTAATAATACAAATAAAACTGCACTTTTAAGTCTTATTGCCTTAAGTTACGGTCCATTTCAGATTGTTTTGACTGTACAGATTTAGTGTGACTGTAATTTACGTAGTTTTAATTATTTTTGGGATAATAATTACCTATATTAAAAATGATAGAAATCGATTCAGTAAACGATTCTGAACAAACTACTTTCTCAAAGTGCGTTAATTATGTTACATGTTGTATATGTATTCATCACAGGTACTTGGCAACAGGTTAATTGTTTAGATCAATGGCTTACAGTTACAGAATGGGTTTGTGTACAGTTTAAAGCATCATTGAAAATATTTGTGGTGCAGTATGGAACCACCTAACGCCTTAAGTATTGGAACCTATGGAAATAAATAGCGAAAGTTTTAAACAGACCTGCCAATTTGATCATTGTGTTGGTGCTATCGACAGTAAACACATCCTAATAAAAGCTCCACCAAACTCTGGCTCAAATTTCTTTAATTATAAAAAAACATTTTCAATTGTTTTAAAAGCAATTGCTGATGCAAATAAAAGATTCATTATACATTGATGTCGGGTCTGTAGGATGCTACAGTGATGGTTTCAAATGTTTAACTAAAAATTCAGTGTATAAATTATGATTATAACATAATATACTAATTGGGGTGTCTAAGGTGTGTGTTAATTAATTACATTACATATTATATATATACTATGCAAAAATTGTTAATGTTGTAAATTTTATTTCAGTAAAAGAGGCAAAAAACTTTTGGAAAAAGTTAAGAAATAGCCATTGGTAGTCACTTTATAGAAAAAAAAAACAACTGAACAGGCTGCTGGTAACGATAAAATTGGAAATATGATAAACTTATGGAATTCCTGATACATACATGGCAAATAGACAGAGCACTACAGATGCGGTATATGGGATGGGATACAGGATGCTGTATCAGAACAAGTAGAATCTCAGTAATACCAAAATACAATAAATGATGAAATAGATGGAAAATAAATTGGAAGTTGATGAAACTATGATAAGAAAAATAAAACCTAAGGATAGCCTAATCAAGTATTTAGAAGAAGAAAAAAGAACAAGAGAGAAACGAACCCTTAGTAGACCTTCGATAATCCGGCCCCTGGCTAATCCGCACCCCCTTGTAATCCGACATGCCTTAAATGAATCCGTTATGGAGGGGGGGGGGTGTTCTTCGCGAATACGTGGACAAACAGGTTGCATTTATTTCAGGCCATTGTCTCAGTTTAAGTGTGACTATGGGGTTGCAGCCTAACGGACATCCATCATTTACTTAATTTCACATGACTTTTTTTTATTGTTTAATATTTGATATGTAATTTGTCAGATTACAAGGTACTCTTTTTGAAAAAGTTCCGGACTACCAGGGGGCGGTGGCAGTACTCTATAGTCCGACAAATTTGAATAATCCGACACCGCCTTGCAAAACGTTTGTCGGATTACCGCGGATCTACTGTATTAAGAAGACATATACTGACATTGCGAGAACAGACAGATACAATGATGTCTATTTTTGATACAATATACGATATGAGTAAGAGTTTGCCTGAATACGTCTAAAGGAAGATACAGCTTGCTCATGAAGGAAATTCTTTATCTACAAATATAGTTTATAACCTTACTGGTGGCACACCCTTTAGACTTCCTACTTCCACCTCTCAAACTGGATCATCACATTCTATACATAGCCCACAATCATCACATTCGATACATAGCCCACAACACCCCTTTCATCCCCCCAATTACATTAGACACAAATGAGATCGTCATCAATGGAAGGTCTTATTTAAGTGATCATTCTACCTACTACATGACATGAAATAATTGAAATAGGTACTGACTTCATTAATTGTTATTACACTATTATTTAAAAACTGGGCTATTTCGAAATGTAACAAAACAAATAAATAATTATTAATCAAATAAATAGTATTATTTTAAAACCAACCATCAAGTCTTTCTCTGGAGGGAATAGGTAAATGTGTGTCTTGCTTCATAATATCATTTTCAATCCTAGAATGAAGTTCGATGAATATGCTTTTAGTCATCCAATAGTAATTAAAAAAAACTTTTCTTCATTCAATTCATTAAAAAGTCTAAATACACCATATTCCTCGAAACTTTATATGGTTTGATATCCAGTATCGACGCTCCCTGTTTTTACTAAAAATAACACGTAAATCAAAATCTGCATCATCTTTCTGTGTTGAACTGTCGTGGCTATCTAGAAAAAAAATATCCATTTTGTTTGAAAGACAAGTTTGTTTGTGAACGACGCGTGCGGTATGATCCGATGACGAACGCACACTGGTTAAAAGATATATTTCACACACACATATATATATAACTAGATTGCCAGGCAGACGTTGTTCTGCCCTTTTCGACGATCCATTGTCATGTCCTATTAAAAATTCTTAAATACGCAAAAAAATAAAAATTGTTGGTCACTTATGGGCAGAAAAACTATCCTATCTCTCAAGTTGGATCAAACTGCACACGGTGTGCAAATTTGATTAAAATCGGTTAAGCAGTTTAGGAGTTCATCGCGGACAAACAACGTGACACGTAATTTATATATATTAAGATTTACTTCTCAGGATATAATATATATTATGTCTCATAGTGATCCCATATCTCACTATGTAAAGGGCATTCGCGGGATATAATTTATATTATATTATTATAATATGAATTATATTCCGAGATATAAATAAAAAAAAATATATATATTATATCCCATAGTAAAATGCCAGCTTAAGAATATCCACTACCCCATATCATCCCGTGGAGGCCACAGAAGGTAACAAATAATAGATGACTGCTCATCTATTTGACAAGCTTGGCAAATATGGCAGGAAGTGCTTTACATACAAGTCATGTTTCTGCTAAAGATTTGCTAGCGCAATTTTATTTATTGGTCTTTAATGGTCGTATTATTGTTTATGAAATGTGTTATTGATAACTTAAGTTTAACAGATGAATTTTGAACTCTATAAAATATGTCCTACCCTGTCTATTTTGTCAAAGTACAGTCGATTTTGTAATATAAACAAATTATTTTGCTTCATTGTTGCAGATATGGAGTCACATATTTTAAATATGTACCATCAACCCCGTTTTCGTTCTATTGGTCATAAGATTTTGCGTTCCACAAGTGAGTCACTCTCATCAGAAGGTAGCTGTCAACAGAACAGTCCAGAGTATGTTCCGGATCAACAAACAAATCAGTATGAAGAGGAAAGTAATGATGATGAATACTGGGAAGAACAGGAGGATCAGAATCAAGTTTGGAATCATAATAAGAATGTAAGTATTATAAAATTCAGATAAAGTATTGATATTACTTTTTTAAATGAATTTGATGAGTTATCTAACTGGTGGTCGTAAGTGACTATTGTATCCTGTGAATATCTTCACTTTGAATAAAGAAACCTGTGTGTGTTCTAGCCTCTGAATTAAGACTGGGAAGCAATGCTGCGACATTTTTAGTTACGAGGGTGGATTGAAAAGTACTCGGCCTAACACAGATCTATTCAATTCTAAAAATCAAATCTACCCACATTATTTAGTTCAGTTCAGACTAATTCATTGTGTGAAGTTCGAAACGTGTGCGATAATTAGTTGTGATTTTATAAATTTATTAACAAAGTAATCGGTCATAATTTCCGCGAATGGAGCAAATCGAGCAGCGTGCCGTCATTAAGTACCTCCATAAGAAGGGGCTATCATCAAAAGCCATCCATGATGACATGGTCAGTACATTAGGCGATTGTGCTCTGTCATATTCATCCGTCAAAAAATGGATAGCAGAATTTAAGCGTGGTAGAGAGAGTGTGAAAGATGAACCCCGCTCTGGAAGGCCTTCGACGTCAACTACTGACGAAAATATTAAAAAAGTACTTGATTTAATAATGGGAGACCGCAGATTAAAAATTAGAGAGATAGCCGAGATTATAAGCATCTCTTATGAACGAACTCAAAACATCATTGTCAACGAGTTGGGTTTCCACAAGGTGTCTGCGAGGTGGGTTCCGCGACTGCTTTCAGTTGAACAAAAAAGGACGCAATTGACTATTTCACGCGACTGTTTGGAGTTATTTGAAGCCGATGCAGATGATTTTTTGAATCGTTTTGTTACTATGGACGAAACATGGGTTCATTACTGTACACCGGAAACAAAACAACAATCAAAATAGTGGAGAAGACCTGGTTCACCACCCCTAAAAAAGGCTAAGTCGATTTTGTCGGCAAATAAGGTGATGGCTTCAGTATTCTGGGACTCGAAAGGTGTGATTATGATTGATTATCTTGAAAGGGGTCAGACTATAAACTCTGATTACTACTGCACCTTACTACGTCGTTTACGAGAGGAAATAAAAGAAAAACGTCGAGGAATGCTCAGAAGAAAAGTCCTGTTTCATCAAGATAACGCCCGTGTTCACACGTCAGTACAGTCAATGGCTGAAATTCACAACTGTGGCTTTGAACTGTTACCGCATCCGCCGTATTCACCTGATCTGGCACCATCAGACTTCTTTCTGTTCCCTAACCTAAAAAAGCACTTGGGAGGTCAAAGATTTTCGACAAACGACGAGGTCAAAGCAGCTGTAGACGCATATTTTGACTCTAAGGAAGAATCATTTTTTTCAACGGTCTAAATGCTTGGAAGGGGCGGTGGCAAAAGTGTATTGAACTTGATGTTGATTATGTAGAAAAATAAAAATATAACTGATTTAGTATGTGTTTATTTTCTTGGTTAGGCCGAGTACTTTTCAATCCACCCTCGTAATTCCATTTATTCCAAGTTTTACCATTGTGAAATTCTTTTTACAGTCTCACTCATAAAGGTTATTATATTACATTTCAGCCTGTTGTTGAGCAGTTAAACCAAGACTTAAGCTCTGATGAGGAAGAAGTTGACTTTCAAGCTCAAGAAATAGATCTTAACAGGAAATCCTTCGATGTTAAAGATATAGAACAATCAGAAATTGACAATGTAGAAGAAGATTCTCTAGTTGAAGGTGACGATTATGATGTTATTCAAGTTTATGCTGTACATCCAGACTTTGACTTGGAAGCATCATCTGAAGACGAAGAACAGTCCGATTGGCATGTGAAAGAAAATGGTGAAAGGACAGAGACGGAAGAGTATTATAATACTGATGAAGACACAAACTGCAGTGTGCAGGAAAATTATGTTTATGATGAAAGTGAAACAACTGAAATTAGTCATGATGCTTTAGGTATAAATTTAGATACTCCAGTGGTTTCAAATGTCGACGAATATTTCATTAAAGATAACAGAGAAAATCATATACTGGAGGTTAAAGATAAACCTGTAGTCAATGACGTAGACGAATACTTTATCAAGGATACAAAACAAGAAAACAATATTCCCAATGTAGATGACTTCTTCATCAAAAATGAAGTGCCCAAACCAACAGTGACGGCATTCCACATAAAGGATACTCCAATTGTAAATTTATATGGTGTACAAAACAGTGTTGCAGAGGAGGTACATCCCCATCCGACCGAAGAGCAAGAGCCCCACGCAGAGGTATCAATTAATGACTCTGATTTGGATGTACTTCCTAATATTGAAGAAATTAAAAAATTTCTTTTGGATGATATACCTTATATGAAACTTAAAAATGCACAAAAGTCTTGCTCTGTACCCCATTCACCAATGCATAGCATATGCATGGATCTTGATGCAAAGACGTGCTTGAGCTTTGAAGATTTGAATCTTGATCTGTCAGATCTTGATTTTGGTAATGAGAAAGATAAATCAGCTAACAGTTCCAAAAGCGAAGACATTCCGCGTACGCTAACAGAGGAGGATGTGAATAGTTTTCTGATTACTAGTAAAACACAGCCAGCCATCATTACCACAACAGAAGATGATTTGAATCCACAAGACATGGACATAGATGGATCTGTAGAATCAGCAACAGATAATATTAATCCATCATCTGTAACGACATATCGAAATTGCTCATCCACCCCAATTCCTAAGTCAACTGTGTTGGAATTCTGTATAGAAAAATCCGCAGTAAAGAAAGAAAATGATGTAAAAGTAGAACCGGATGATTTCGTCGATGTGGAATCCTGTAATGAATCGGTCATCCCTGTTTTGGAAGCGAATAATTTAAATTCGCTTTTGGAACAATTTGAAGCTACAGAGAAATTCAATCCTAAGCCAAAAAAGTCCGTAATCAAAGTTAATGATCAAAAAGTAAAAACATTAAATAGTTTAACGAATGGCATGCGACTACAAGATGCTGGTGTTCAGTTGAATAAAAATAAAATGCGGCAAATCATGGTAAGTATAGTTGCTTTTGTTTTAATTTTAATGTCAGGTTAATCTATGGGACAGGTTATTCTACCTTAACATTATTACAGATGCCGTCATCAATTAACACTGCAATCAGGAGATCACCAAGTCCTGTTCATTCTGATCATGACTATTGTTCGTCGAAAAAACGACACAGTCTTCCTAATTTGAAAGGTGGACAGAGTCTACTGAAACCTGAAGTTTTGTCTAGTAATAGTAGAATTCTAAATTCTAGACACAGATCGTGCAAAAATAAGAAAATTGTATATCATCTAAGCAGTGATGACGAAAATGAAAAATCTACTAGTACCAAAATAAAGAAAAATTCAAACAATCGTAACGGTGAAGATAATGACACGAAAACGAAAAAATCATTAGTAAAGCAACCTGTAAAGGCTACAGTGCCATCAACTTGCCGTAAGAAAACGTATCCAGTGCATAGTGCGAACGATATTTGTTTAGATAAAGGCAACAGTTCTGTGATGTTCAAAAATGCTTGTAAAGCAAGTGATACTCCTATTAGTCAAAGTTCTAATGGTAGCATTAAGTTAACAATTAAAAATAAATCTGAAGTAATCATTGAAAACTGTGATGAAGACTATAAAAATATTGAAAAAAATAAATCAAGTAGTGTAAGTGAAAAATCAGCCAACCACTTTAAAGCTAATAATGTTAAAAGTATAGAACCTTTAGATAGTAATCAAAATCAAAATAAAATTGAAAATACTAATGAGATACATAATCCTAGTATGAGTGTAAAGGAAGAACCCATTTCTAATCCGGAGCATTTTTATACAGCGTTATTTAGTAACAAGCATGATGTTCAGATTCCCCATTCGATTGATGTAAAATTGGAAAAACGATCTCATGAAGAAGATATAAAGGTCATTAATGACACTTTTAAGAATGAAATCGAACAACCACAAAAGAAAAAGAAACTGAACCTTCAAGAGTATAAACTAAGAAGAGGAGTAAACTCCAATCAAAGTTCGGCAACTGTGAGTCCAGAAGCAATATTTCCCGATTTATCGATTCCAGAAAATATTGATAAAATTCCTAAATCCTCTGTAAACCAAACTCCTGCGAATGGAGTCTCTAATTATTCAGCAAAAACAAACTCAGAGGTTCCAAAGAAAATATTCGATCCCATCAGAGAGGCTTCCAGAAAAATTCTTATGAATACTAAAAAACAAAAAGCTGAGGCTATGAGGAAGAGGGACGAAGATATTGTAATGAGTAAAATACCTAAGGTTGAAAATTTGGAATTGCAACCACTGATCAGCGAAGCAGAAATGATGAAAATTGTTGGTATGGGCTCAGCAACAGATATACTTCCTATACCAGTTGTGAATGAGAAACCGCCGCAATTAAGTGACTATGATGAAATAGTCGTAGTGAGTGTTGGAACTAACACAGACGATGAAGTGTTTAAAAAACTGCAACAGGCAGCTGAGCATGAAAAGAGGAAGTCACAGACGCCACCAACTGACACAAAGTCTACCATCAACTTTAAAATTAAGAAGTCTGATCACATTCTTAAACATAACGTTTTTGATACATTACAGAAAGACAGAAGTCCTAAGGAAGATAAAAAACATTCTGACATTAAAATCGATAAAGAAAGATTTAAAGACATTACTGCTACATTGAAAAGCGTAGAAAAACAAGTTGAGACAAAAATATCAAGTAACTCATTGTTTGCCAGTATACAGGATGTGGTTATGAAAAAGGCACCAGAAGTAATTGTTCCGAACAAAGGCCAAAGTTCCAGCAACGGCGAACAAAAATCGAAGCCTAATTCTCCCATGGAGAAAAAATCCAATCTCAAATATTACAAAACCACTATCGTTCGTGATTACGACGCTCAGGCTGAGCATGGCGAAGACAAAATAATCTTACATCTAGAAAAGCAACGAAAGAAACCAGATGTCTTGAGTATACTTATTCAAACCGAACTTAAAGCAGTAGATTCACCACTAGCACTAGAGAAAGTTGCAACACCCAAAGAGGAGCCGTCAATACACAGAAAAAGGAATGATAGCGACATGTCCATGTCCAGTGAAAGTAGCCCGGATCGTATAAAGAAAGATATTAAACCGGCGAAAGTGGAGGAAAAACCCAGCGCCGTTAAACCAAAACTGGACAAGCGGGAGTCTGGAGGAACGCAAACTAAAGAGAAAAGATCGCGTTCAAAAGAGCGCTACGATTCAAAGTACAGACGCTCGCGTTCACCTGCGAGGGTTCACAGGCGAAAAAGATCTCACAGTCGAAACAGGTCGAGGTCCAGGAGCCGGTACAGAAGGTACAGACGTTCTAATTCGCCGCATAGAAGGAAAAGGCGGTCTCACACGCGCTCACCGTACCGCAAACGGAGATCACCGTCACCAAGAAGGGAATTTCGGAATCGGTCTAGGTCGCGATCCAAACACGCCGAACCAATACGACCTAAAAGTCCGGTGGTGAAGAAATCGAAACCCAGCCCTGCTTACGAGAGTAGCGCGGCTGATAAGAAACCTGTGGCTTCCTTAACGCCGCCTCCAATACGAAAGCCAACCGTTTCTGAAAGCTCTGATTCTTCGACTAGGTATGTATAAGGTACCTCCGACCCAAAGTCCTTTTGACTCCTACAAACTGTGTTTCAGTTTTTAAACAAACACAAACACAAAACATTTTTTGTGATATTTTGTCATGTGTTTAATGTTGCAATATATTATCCCTGCTACCGATCTTAAATTACCTCAACATGTATGTGTAGTAGAGGCTTAAGTAGGTCCCTTACCCTATATCATCCCCTATTTGTAAGATGCGAAAGAGGGAAACTGTAACAGGAGATGGGGAGCAGCATCTTTCTGATATCAACCGCAAATAATAATAAAACCTGTTCCGTCTCCGTCCGCCAAGCTGGACAACTATGGAAAAATCGTCTCAATGTAGTAATATTTGATTTGATACTGTATGGATGAGGAAAAAATGATTGTATGTGAGGGTTAAGGGGTTGGTACTTGGTAGTGTTAAGTTGACACAGTTCGGTAGGTGCTTCTATAAGGTCGCTAGAGTTGTCAATAAAAATTTACCATGACATCCTTAATATTTGTAAGGAAAAACAAAAAAGTTAGTCTGAAGTCGAGTCTGATTAGAACTTCGCTCAGTGTTCAATCAAACTAACATATTGTCTATGTTAAAGTAATACCTCGATAATTCCCAATAAGAAATTATAATAGAACAATTTTATTTAAGCAGTAGTTCATCGTCTTCATCGAGTAGCTCTTCAGAAGAGTCGGTGAAGTCGCGCAGATCTAGCAGTTCCTACAGGAAAGGAGACAACTATAAAAAGAAAAATTACAGGAGCTCTTATAGTTCGGAAGACAGGTGAGTTTGTTTTGCGACTGTATGACTTGTTAAATACATGATACGTCGGTTATAGGGTGAAATATTTATTAAAAATAAAGTAGTTTTCAAATGTTCCAATACCGGGTGTAGGGGCTTACTTCCCCTCTCTGAAATTTATATAATAATTGTTAGAAATTTTACTATAACAGTAAGTGGTGAGTAGTTTTCACCGAGGATTCAACTTTGTAGGCCCCATCCTCATACGCAATGTTTTAATCCCGCCAAGAAGCAGTGTTTACACTGCTGTATTCGGCTCTGAAGAGTATAGACAACTAGTATAATTGTATGGGAGGCACTACATCTTAGTCCTCCGAATTGCCAATATGTTCCGTTTATCCACCCTAAGAAATCCACCCTAGGATGGATATTCTGAATCGCGTGTTCGTTTATCCACCCCAGACGGGAGTAGATAATCGGGATTCGCATATTATTTTTCTTCCGATTTTCCCCCTCGGCTGTATACAGTATTTTATAAAAATATGATAGAAACTGGCCAACATTACTTAGTAGAAATTAACATACTTATAAAAATACATACTTACTTCTTGTTTAAAGGTCAAAACTGAAATACTTTTAATTATTCAATTACATATCATTCGATGTGACATAATTTACGGCATTTTGGAGATATCCTATGATGAAAGAAATGTTTTACTGCAATTAATTTCAGTTATATTTCATTGAAGTGGGTATTAAAATTAAATAAATATATTTTTAATTATATAAACACAGTTATTATGAGTTAGAGCCATGTTGCAGTTATATTAGTAGTATAGTTGTAGCAGGAATGGGTCGGTTCGACCGGGGAAGGACCACGCTCTCACAGAATACCAGCGTAAAATAGTAGCTTAATGCTGCTGTGATTTGTATGGTGAATAGAGAACCGGAGACACTTTTTACTGGAAACGAGGCATTCCATTTTAGTCCTATTGGGTGACAACGCATCTGCATTTTGATTCGTAATCGAGGATAGATCTAGATGTCTATAGGCCACAGCAACCACTTACCATCAGGTGCACTGTGTGCTCGTTTGTCACCATATCCTATATAAAAAAAAACATACATATTGGAAATAGTACGGTACTTAAAAATTTTGACATGTCTTTTATTGAGAGATGAATTTATGCAGGATATATAATTACGTCCACTCAATAATGAAATTAGTGTTGGTCATACACTGGACATATTGCAGAATTTATAAATTACTTACTATTATTTAAAACAAGGAAGTTTAATTTGGATCAAATGCAATACGTTATATGATTTTTGTTTAAGTTTATGGTTATTAAAAATTAATCAATAATATGTTAAAGAATATATTTTCTGGCGAACTGTACTTGGGGTGATAAAGCGGAACAACAATCAAAAAGCGTATATGATTATCCACCCTGTCCAGGGTGGATAAACGAACACGCGTTTCCGAATATCCAACCTAGGGTGGATAAACGGAATAACCCGCCAATACATCTGTAGCCGTCTTTATTCGAAGTTGGTTGCCGGTGTCTGAGCTGCAGTAGCCACTTATCATCAAATAGCCCGTAAGTTGGCACTTTAGTTTTAAAAAAAACTTTGTTAACTCATGACAAATAAATAAATACTTACGATAAGTAAATAGTAATTTCGAAAACTAAAAATTCTATTCTATTCTATATGAAGTAATTTTTATTTTCTCAGAATTGCTTAAATATCTTTTGATATTTTTCTTTAACACAAATCGCATAGTAAAGCTCTTGTAATTTCAGTAGTCATGGTACTAAAGCCGGTGAATCTCAAACTTGTATATTTCAGAATTTATGGAGCATATTATGGTCTAGACTTAAATATTGATATTATGAAGTTTGAGTATGAGTATGAGAGAGAGAGAGAACTCTAGATTGTCTCTAAATGCTTAAGATTCGAACTCGATTAATAAGGGGTCACCAATAAAGAATCATGTCCAGTCTTGACCTGAAAAGTTTCTAACGCGTCTAGTGATGTAAAATATCTTATAAAATTGAATATTTTTTTCTTATAACCTCAAAATTTTATTGACTTAATATAAGAATTTTTCCCTGGTCTCTAAATAAAAAGGTGATAAGTTATTATGTTATTATAAACAATAATTGATTTTATGCATAAGTAGTTGTAGGTAGACGCGACCTGTTAAAGGAATCAAGTGACAGGTCAATCAATGTATGGAAATTGGGCATGATTCTTTACATCTAGCTCTGGTTCTTAACCTTTTAGTGATGAAGACCTTTTGACGGATCGCCAACTTTTGGACATGCTATAACTTTGTTTGGTTGATTTTTAAGTTTGTAAATAAATAAAAACACAAAATTTAATGTGCGCCATTATTGTTACTAATCACTTATTTTAATGCGACAACACTGTATTATAAACCGCATTAGCGGTATCTACACAGCGACAGACATCTCTAAAAAAATTCCGACTTATTTTACGTATGAGAGAATTTTATAGTGCCTTAGCGGAACTCTTCGGGTGCTTTCATGGACCACGGACCACCGGTTAAAGAATCTGAAACATGTCAGGTCCAGCTATTTACATGATTTTTACCGGTCTAATAGGGGTGTCATATTTCTGTGAGGCACCATTCCCTGTTATAAAGAGAAAATTTGCAATTGCTGTTCTTGACTTATTTTTAATTTTACGGTCGCATTTTTCCTTCAGAGAAAGCAATACGCCCGTGGAAGAGAGACGGATTGTGTTTGTCGGGAAGTTAGAAAAGGACATCACTAAATCTACTCTACGAGGATTGTTCTCAAAGTTCGGTCCGGTCACTGAAGTGCGGTTGCATACGAAGGAGGATGGGTAAGTGTTTTTTTTTTAAATTAATCATATCCATGAATCTGCTTGAAGTTAATATAGAACCGCTGTTCTACGAATTTTGTTTTTTTGTTAATTTTTTTTTTAAATAAAGTAGAATATATAGCTAAAAGAACTATGAAAGAGTTTCTAATCAAAAAAAAAAAAACTAGGTGGTTCGTGTAGTATGTATAGAATGTAATGTGTTATGTATATATATATTAAATATATTATATGTAGTTTAGTGTTATATTATTATACGTTAGTGTATATTTGTAGTATATTAGATGATAGATACAGTGAATTTCGGTTATAACGACGGCGGAGGGACCACTTTAATGTCGTCGCTATATCCGGAGGTCTCTATATCCGAAATAATCTGTATTAAAAAGTCATGTACATATTTACTTATCATTTATTTAATTATGTTATACACGGGTATAATTGCAAAAACGTGTTATAGTGCACTGTTTAAGTTTAGTTTTTTGTGCATGATGTAAGGTGTATTCGATTTTCATAATTCCTTCAACATCTAAATTATTTTGGCCTTCACCAAATAAACAGTACTTTTTGAGCGCTGTTATAGCACATAATGCATCTCTATTTATTGGAATCTCATTTAGATTGCAATCTTCTTCCTCTTCTTCATCCTCCTTTTCTTGTGTTTGAAGAAAAAACAAAGGATAAGAAAGCTTAATAGTTATATGAATGAGTATTTGTGCCTTTAACGACTCAGTCGCAATATCAACAGGGGATTTCTAGGAATCGGTCATAAATGGTTCATAAAAACAAGTCGCTATACCCGAAATTGACGCTATAACCGAAGTCGCTATTACCGAATGAATTTCTTACGAAAGTATGCTTTAAATTTAAGGGACGTAAGTTTGACGTCGCTATAACTAAAAAGTCGTTACAACCGAGGTCGTTATTAATGAAATCCACTGTAATTTACTTTATATTGCATGACTTGATGTGTTCATACCTACTAATTTATCTTAAGGCGAAATAGTATGGTGCTCACGAGTGAGGAGCGGTGACATTTTATGCTCCTGTTTGGCCGGCCCGCGGTCAATTTTATTGCACCTTAATTATTTGACAATTATTGGTGAACACATAGACAGAATTTAATTGAAATTGCTTTAATTAAATTCGAATGAAACTGCTTTTTCCCTTAATGGATGCACCTAAAATTGTAGATTCGAGAAAATTTTTGCGATATTTTTATATGGTGCCAAAATGTGTCAATCGTGTTTTGGCCATCATAATTCACTAAGGAAAATCTTTAACTTTTATAATGAATAAAAAAAAGTGAATTCTTAGTTTTTAATGACAAAAAATTGATTTTTTACGCACATATAAAGCGTGAAAAATCTGTTTTTGGCGCCCATCATCATCATCATTACAGCCCTTCACAAGTCCACTGCTGAACATAGGCCTCCCCCAGGTAATACCACAAAGCACGGTCCTGAGCCACCGGCATCCATCGACTTCCTGCATATCTTACCAGGTCGTCACTCCATTTAGTGGGGGGTCGCCCTAAACTACGCCTACCGGTACGAGGCTGCCACTCGAGAACCTTTCTTCCCCATCGGTTATCGGTTCTTCGAGCTATATGGCCGGCCCATTGCCACTTCAGCTTACTAATCCGTTGGGCTATGTCGGTCACTCTGGTTTTACTGCGGATATCCTCATTTCTGAGTATCAAGCAGAGAAACTCCGAGCATAGCCCTCTCCATAGCTCGCTGAGCGACCTTGAGCGTACTCATACGGCCAGCAGTGAAGGACCACGTCTCAGATCCGTAAGTCATCACTGGCAACACCCACTGGTTGTACAATCTAGTTTTCAGAGATTGAGATATAGCTGACGAGAAGATGTGTCGTAATTTCCCGAACGCTGCCCAGCCGAGTTGAATCCGGCGCCCATTTCACCTTAAATTTATAAATTTTTATTAATATAGTGATTTGTTAAAAAATATTAAAATTACCATTAGTACTGTTAGCAATTTATAATTGATAGACCATTTGTAATTTAAGCGTGTGGTTTCTGCTGGAGGGATAAAATTTTTCGTTTTCATCCGACTTCAAAAAAAGGAGGAGGATCTCAATTCGACTGTAATTATTTTATGTGTGTTACCTCACAACTTTTTTCTTGGTGAATCGATTTTAATATTTTTTTTTAATTTAAAAGCTGATTCTTCTCATGTGATCCCATATAAAGATCTGAATAGTAGTTTTTGAGTTATCCTTAATAACTACTTCCTTTATAATTAATTAATTAATTATTATTAATTTTATTTATATTGAAGTCGGTTGTACAAAATGTTTAATTTTAGCGCTTGTTTTGTATCAGTTTTTTTTTAATTTTAAATAAATTATCAAAGTAGACTAAACTCTGAAATATCGTGTTATATTTTTATATATTATGAAATATCCTAACGCCGAATTGATAATGTCTTAAATGCTAGGAGTAAAAAGAACTTTACCTTACCAAGGTAAATTTTAGATAACACTTATTCTCTATAAACGGGGTTTAAAAAAACGTACAAATAATACAATTTTTTTGTAAAGGAGATGTTCCATAAATGTATGGAGCCTGGGCCAGCACTATGTACACTATATGTGAATATTGCTGTATAATATAGTAACCGTTTTTTATTGTTAGTTTTCTTTAATTTCACTGCGTTTCATTGTACATTCAAATTAACTTGGTCAAGGAGAGCAACACAACATAAAATTAAACATGGTGGATCCAGGTGGATCGGAACAGCAGTACGCGAAAAATGTCATATTGACAGTGACATTTGATTGACGTGTATAGTAATTCGTAATATCTGCAATAAAAAAAAACAACACGAATTTCAAAAATCTGGGATTTCGATAAAATAAGACTACAGGATATTCTTCTCGATTGCGGCACCACATTTTATATCACCTATTCGAGTAGTTACAGATTGGTTATATCGGTGTCAAGAGGAGCAAGAAACGAAACAAAGGCTTGAACGTTATTTTATTTACAACACTTTCCTGCTGCTTCGTTTAGTTTTTTACTTTAGTGCCTATAAATATACTCTGTACTTCAATAATTCATAGGAGAGCAGTTAGCTGTACAGTACCTGATGACTGCAAGTTATAGTTAAAGTAGATAACTATACCTATTACACAGTAACAGATGGGAAGAAATCAACTATTCTTATCCAATTAGGTAGCAGCAGCATAATCAGCCTATAATGTTTCTACCGCTGAGACATATAACTACTTTCTGTGAGAGTGGACTGTAATCCAACATGCGGGCCCAGTGCCCAATTAAACACTAACAATTTTTCAAACAAGTTCTATGTTATATGATTCCTAGTATTAGAGACATTAATAGCATGAGAAATAAGTCATGAGGTATACAAATAAAACAACTTGTTGAGACTTTTAATTTTATTAATTTTCTACATCATCCATTATTAATATTCCATCCAGGAATGACGCCGGTGCTTCTATGCTCTCTTGGTACCGAGCCCAACCCAAATACCACACAATGGTCATAATGTGAGCACAGCAACCCACTGTTCGTTGTCCGGAGATACAACTACAATAATAGCTAATTATTTTATCATCCCAACTTGATCCTTCCTTTGACAGCAAAATATATGTATAATATGTTCGTCCTGAGCTATGTCGAGATTTTATACGGCCTCTGATTAAAAGAGGATCAAGTTGGGATGGGGTTGCTTCTGCTACTACTTCCAGTTGGTCAGATACTTCTACCTGAAATGATCCATGCTGCCTAATATGTTCCCCGAAATAGCTTCTAGCCTGTTTTATTTGATAGGTACCCAGCCCAAAAAGTATCAAGTCAGACATAGTCATTTCAGGGAAAATACTTAACTCTGGAAGTTGACCATCAATTCTTGTGAATTGGGCTCTAAAGCGGTTGATCCGGTTAGCAATTATAAGTTCTGCTAACCGGTTGGGCATATTTTTTCTCTGTATTGCTCGAGTAAGTATAGCATCAGCATCTGGTCTATTTTCAATCACTGGATGGAATGCATTAATTATAGCTGCACAAATACGAACATCGTCCATCAAATGGGTGGCAGCCAAATTAAAATATTCGTGTCTCAATAGCTTAAAGTCTCTTTTAAATCGGCCATTAACTACTTCTACCACCCATCTGCATAGTGTCACACATCTTGTCTTGTTTGCACTGATGGTTGATAACTGAGTCTCTCCTTGTTCTAATGACTCCGGTTTAAATACTTTGAAGCCCAACCCCTCTAGCATTGGAATGGAATCACGAAAGCCTCGATCCAAAATGAAAACATCATTGGGCTGAAAAAAAGCCCTTAGACCCTCATTTTCATTTTGGAACAAAGCTTTCATGATGTCAGCATCTGATTTGGTTGCTGGATAGGGCCCCAAAATATCAATAATATAACCATCAGTGGCAACAATGAGAAAAGGTTTAACAAGGTTTCTATATTTGTGCAAGCTATAAGTTTTTTTTTTGGAACATATAGTTGGATGATTTTTGAAGGTATATATAGGTACCATCAAATATTATTATTGGTACTCTTGCCTCTCTGTTTCCAAACAAACCCTCGGGTATTAATAAATTCCTATTTATTAAATCATTTCTTGTATGATTGATTCCTAAGTGGAGAGGCACAAATAACCTTAGCAATGCCTCTTTAGCTACTCTAAGCAATCGTGTTATTGAGGACTTGGTCAGATGAAACAGAGAGGCAATCCTTTCATGGGAGTCCCCTGTACGAGCTTTCACCAAATAGATTCCCAAAGCAATTTTTTGGTTTTTGCAAGTCAATGCTGGGCTTATTACATTTAAAATATTTATAAAATTGTCTTTTGTAATTCCAGTCCAGAACTTAAAGAGTCCCTCATCAATACTACTCATATTATTAAAATCTAGTTGATTTATTTCATTGTCCTGGATACTCAGCTTCAGCATTGACTCTATTTCATTTTTTGTAAATGTATTTGAGAACTGATGCTGGTCCAGAAACTCCCAGTTGTATAAACATTTATGTTCATTACATACTCTTGCATTTTCTGTCACAAATATTTTTTCCGATTTTAATATAATTCTTCTTAAGTATTCCGGCACTCTATTTCGTTCTACATTGTTACAGGCCGGCACAAAACAATGAGTACTTGTCTGTGTTGTGTGTGTAAAACCATCAAGTGTTATTGATGCACTTGGTGGCTGGATATCAAATTGCACAACTTCTTGCTCCATTTCTATATTTTCGTGTGCACGTGTCCAGCAGTTGGAACAAAGTAGCGCATGTTCTGGTAACTGAAACAATACAAGAAACAATTTACTTACAGGAGCAACAGAAAGGGTTACTTACAGTTAAATGCAAAGTTACATTACTTGTGTATGGTGGTTTAGTAAATTAAAATAATTTTACCTCATTGGGGTAAATTCTTGCTGCAACTTCATCTCTCACAGGACCACTAGCCACATGTGTTCGCCTTCGGTGTAGCGACATTCTACACCATGCACACATAGAGTCTTGGTGAAGATTAGATGGGCCTTGCCGGTTATCCTCAACCCTTGTAGCATGCTCCACATTTCTACGTGCTGCTACCCAACAAGCATAGCAAACCAGTCCTCCTGGTGGAATCTGAATTAAACAAAAGAAAACAATATGTATTGACTATTAACCCAATTATTTAATTCCAACAGTAGGTAATTAAGTAAGTTGTTAATGTTACCTCTCTTGGATATATCGTTTGTGTTATTATGGTCCGTTCAGGTCCTTCAGGTATGGAGTGGCTGCGTGTTTGGGCAAGAGACCGTCGGCACCATACACATGCATTCATATTCATAACAGCAGGAGCTGCTATGATTCCTTGTTGTTGTATTGTACGCCGAGTATGTACCCAACAAGCAAAACATATTAAACCACCCTCGGGTATCTAAAACAAAAAATATGAAATTAATATTTATTAATTTAAATCAAAACATTTCTAAATAATTTAAATCACAACATTTCTAAATCATTTTAATAAATCAAGATTTAGTTATTTTAACATCACCTTCACAGACTCAACCAAGGTGATGTTATAAGTTACATATCTACACACATTTCCAAAAATTAAATTGTGACTGTTCTGTTTCTTCCTGCAATAATATTGTCTTAGACCATAATTAAGGAACATCTGCATTTGACTGCCTGTATGAATAAAAAAGAAAACAAAAGAGGTGCTTACCTCTCTTGGAGCAATTGTTTCAGCAATATATTGCCTTTCGGCACCCTCGGGAATAGAGTGTGCACGCCTCTTAAACAAAGATGTCCTACACCTAACACAAACATTGCTATCATGGCAATGTTGGAGTTCGTGATCTCCATGTGCCAGACCATTAGATACCTCTTGCATTATGATGCCAAAGCATTGTGAGCACATCACTTCATTTCCATCAACCTAAAACAAAACAAAACAAAAAAGAGGTTATACAGTGTTTAAAAATATGTTACAGTAAATAGATAAATAAAATGTTTTTTACCAGATGGCCAAGATACCGCTCGATGACCGAAATTATTTCAGGACCCATATCATCGGTAGCATAATATTGTTCATTTTCATCTATTACAGAAGTGCACTGGAGGCATGCCATTGTCAATAAACTGAAATAAGTATGAGTTAAAATCTATTAGAATATGGAACAAAGGAAGAAATCATCACATAGAAATAGCATTTGAACAAAACAAGTAAATGCACGGGTAGCGGACATACCTGAAACTGAACTTGTTATTGTAAAATAACACGACGGAATCCAAATCACAGGCGAATCAGAAACCATATAACAAAGCCGGGGTCAACAGAGAAGCAATCAAATCAATGTCCGTAATAGTAAACTGGGTCGTAAAACAAAAACAATCACTAAAAACTCCGAAACACATCCAATTCAAACCCAAAGCAAAGCAATACTCAAAGACGTCACTTCTTAAAACTGTCAAAGTCGTCAAACGTCATAAAACACAACTGTCATGGCTGCCCTCGAAATAGGGTTATCCTATAAAAAAACTTTTCAAATGATCATTTTGTACGCCTGTACCCTTCTTCAAATTAATTTGTAAGTATTTTTATGAAATTACTCAATTTTTTTCCTATTTATCTATGTAGTGTACATAGTGGTAGCCCAAAATCAAACATCTCCTTTGCAGTCAGCATAGTTCCACTGTGTTCTTAGATGGATCATTCTTTTTTATATTTATTTATTACCTGAGACATCTATCTATCCTTACTCGTCAAGCTATACTTGGCAGGAGGATTTTTTACATTCCACCTTGCTACGATTCCTTAATATTTGTATTCCACCGAAAATTCGTTCTCTTCACGATGCAGTTTTTAATTTTATGTGGTCGAATTTGGTGTAATTAAGTTAACGAACGGACCGTTTTCACTTCCAGAGTCGACAAAAAAAATTGTGTTTTGTATGGAGTTGTTCACAAGACATCGATTAGTTTTGCCAGTGCTTCACACCAGACCAAAAATCTTGTCGAATGTAGCTCGCGTATAATTTTTTATAATTTTTCTGTGCTCTCAACATAATTGCAAGCAACTAATATTCTTTAATAATTTATTCAGTGATTAAGATCAAAAATATTTCCTTAGTTAAATCAAATTGTACTTATAAGCCTCCTGGAGTATGGGAAATGGCTTCAGCTTAAGGGTCAACCCACACGTAAATGAATAGTACAATTTACGTGTACCACATTTTGCCTACATTATCGAATGCATGAGTGATACTGGCTACCACGCAACCACGACGCAACCACTACGGAAACACACGGAGCTAGCGGCCAGTACCAGCGACAACGCAACCACATCGACGTTTTGTCGTGTAACCACAACGCAACTGCAAAAAGCTGCAGCGACACTATTTACACGTGTGACCACATTTTGTCGCTGCGATATAGTGTGGTTTTGGTACGTGTGGGTTGATCCTAAATCGGTTTTGACATCTTACTAGTGTGAGCAAAGATGTTCACGCTAGACAGATGTCAAAACCGGATGTCAAAATAAAAATCGACTAGCGAAAAAAAATGTTCTTAAAACGACGAGAATTTGGAACAAGTTAAATATAGAATATAAAATACAATCCAAACAAAAATCCATAAATTCAAAAAAAAAATTTCAACAAAAATAATTTCAAATCAACGGGGATGACCGATTGATCAAGGCTGGTAGGAGACGCGTGCTCCTCGATCATTGTGTTCAGTTCTTCACAGTACACATCTGCAATAATGCTCATCCCGGTTGAGTACGAATCTGTGACGAATCACACCGGCGCTAGACCACCGAGCAGTGACCACCGATTAGTTCTTTGTCAAATACAATCCTTTCATAAAAGTTTTGTAAATGTATTTTATTTTGATGTTTACATAGTGGAATGTATCAAATTACATTGACGTTGGTCACTCGAAGTACCGCTTTTTTAAGCATTTTGAAAAATTACCTACACTTTATTATATAAATGTAGATTTATGTAAATTTTAGTTCTACTTTTGAAACTGCTTACATCGTATGTATTTCCAAGCGTGAATATATTTGTGTTCAGGTCCCGATATGGATTCGTGACGTACCGTAAATCCCGGGATGCGTGGGCAGCTGTCGAGGCGGCCAGCTCCTTCCCACAGTACGATGTGGGCTTCGGAGGCAGAAGGGCCTTCTGCAGGCAGAGCTACGCTGATTTGGGTAAGATTGGACATTGTTACGTCAGTAAGACCATCATTGATGTTGCTAATGGGGCTCTTCAATTTCCTGTTATAAGTTTCGTCGTTAGTTACTTACGACTCAAATAACAGTGTGAAACACTTTATATATATAGGAAGGTAGTTAAATGGAATTAATTTAGTCACAAAATACACGGATCACAGGCAACCGACTATTAATTTTACTGCTGTACTTAACGGCGGCTGCTCCGTTCGTTTTATACAATCGAGACAAGTAGCTACACGAGTGCCATTGCAGGTGCAAGGCGCAGGTACCGACACACACACACACACACACACACACACACACATATATATATATATATAAAGAAGGGGTAAACGAGCATGCGGCATACCTGATGATCGTAAGCCTCCACGAACAACTGCAACATCAGGGGAATGGCAGGTGTGTGGTGGCGCTGTCGACGCGCTTCAAGCGAAACACATCGAAGCCTAAATCGCGCTATCAAAGTTCCGAAGTAAAAACAGTATAAATATAGAATAGTTCCGAAATATCGCACGGAGCGTGGCGTTGGTCGCTCCCCGGGCAGAATACTTTGCTCGGCGGGAGATCTCCCCTTTTTCTTCCACGGCCGCAGTGATGACTAAATGACGTGATCTGAACCCGCAACAAAAAATTTTTACTACAACTTCAAGCCTTAGTCATAATCCTCAAGAAACCCTACCATTTCACTACTGAGAATCGTCTTCCGCAGTCTTCAGTTGCAAGCCCGTCCGACTTGTCTTCATCTCGACTTACCGCAGATTTATAATGCAGACTTCTGGCAGTTGCTCCGGCACATCGTTCTCACCGGCATCACTTGCATGTGCTTAGTACGGCATACATTACACACCGGCAAGTCGTTCGCACCGGCATCCCTTGCATGTGCTTAGTACGGCATACATTACACACCGGCAAGTCGTTCGCACCGGCATCACTTGCATGTGCGTAGTACGGCATACATTACACACCGGCAAGTGTTCGCACCGGCATCACTTGCATGTGCGTAGGGCTACTACACCGGCAAGTCGTTCGCACCGGCATCACTTGCATGTGCTTAGTACGGCATACATTACACACCGGCAAGTCGTTCGCACCGGCATCCCTTGCATGTGAGTACGGATACAGGGGGCATCACTTGTATGTGCGTAGTACGGCATACATTACACACCGGCAAGTCGTTCGCACCGGCATCACTTGCCCTTACGGCCTGGTCACGGGGAACGGCGGCGCGAACGGCGAAGCGACAGGTGGGGCTAAAATTCGCGCGGCGCGATTTGAGGGCCACGGGAAGTCTCGTTTGCCGCCGCGACCAGATAGGCCAAGCGTGAAATGTCTTTATCAAAGTTATCTCGATATTGCTTAGAAAGTAATTGTTTTTTGATTCAAGACATAATATTTGGATGAGATTGCGGAGTACTTGATTTGAATAGGAATCGGGTGGATGGAGAATTTCACAACAAATAGAATGCATCTAGAAAAAATTTCGAGTAAATACCAGAATGAGTGTTAAAGCCTGCGATTATATTCTTGTTAATATTCAACCAGAATTAGAGATAAAAGTCAATGCGGATGGAATTTTAAGTTGTTTTTGTCGGCCCGGCATTTTTCGCGGCGAAAACAACTAAAATATTTTGTTTCTATACTATTCGCCGCGTCTGCCGCCATGATTGCCGCCCGACTCCGTGGCTTGCACCGTACTGATTCATACATTTGTTTCATTCGCCCGCCGCGCCGCCAGTCGCCCGCGCGATTCGCCCGGTAAATTTCGCCGGTCGCGTCGCCACTCGCCGGTACGCGTGGCTTGCTCCATACATATCTATACATTTGTTTTAGTCGCCAGACGCCTCGCCGTTCGCGCCGCTCGAATTTTCGCTACGGTTAATGTCCCGTGGCCAGGCGGTTACGCACACAGTATCCATTCATTCCCCACCGGCATTAAGTACGCACCGGCAATCGGACTGCACTATTGACCTCAGGTCTGAAGAAAAATCGCTTGTGGTTGTCGATTCCACAAGAAAGTTGTGCGAGAAAGAAAACTTCTTGTAAATCTAACTCTTGTGGATCGCCAATCATCCAGGTGGTATGGATGGTATCGTCGACTAGAATTAGTACTCCTTAGAGCACTCCCCGTGGTAGATGCGATAAAATACGCAAAGAGATGCAACATCTCTGCAGTGAGACAGTGAGTCAAGCCGAATCACAAAAAACTCGGTCGCTGATGATTTAAACCGCTCTGCGCTGTATGCGATCAAATGGAAGGAGCTGACACTGGGGAGCCCCAGCCCGGAGATGGGAATAGTATTCCATGTGCGGCCGAACTTGCGCCTTGTAAAGTTGCAGTCGGTGTGCTTTCATGAAGTACTGTCCCGCTTTCTCTTCCAAGTGATCACGAAACTGCACGTCATTTGATATGTCGACGCCGAGGATTCCCATACTGGCTGAGGCAACAAGGGGAGTGCACTGAAACTAAGGATATACGAAAAAGGGCTTCTTTTTAGCGGTAAACGCACAAACTTGTGTTTTCTGGGGATTGAAATAGACTAGATTTATTCGCCAACAACCCGAGACTTTGTTCCACAAAATCTCAACTTCAGACACAAGTTTATTTCGATACTCGGCGACATTTTCCCGAGAGATATAGGCATGGACTCTACTGCCTCCGGTCATCTATGAGTTAGGTAGATCAGAAGATCACCAGCTGATCGTCTCCGACGAAAACTGTATTGGCAGTCACTAATCAGCTAAACTTGTGTTATGAGACCTTGTTTCCTCTTATTCTTCATGCCAAACTATATCAACAGGCCATATAGATTTTGACAGGTTAAAATTACGATGTCAAAACTTGTGTAACACAATATGGTCTAATCTGTATGTGGTAGAGCTATGCTGCAGCTATATTAGTAGTATAGTGTAGAACGAATGGGTCGGCTCGACCAGGGAAGGACCACGCTCTTAGAGAATACCAGCGTAAAATAGCAGTTAACGCTGCTGTGTTTCGTATGGTTAGTGTAGAGAATTTGAGACCCTTTTTACTGGAAACGAGCCATTTTAAATTATTCCTCACGGTTGTTAACGCATTTGCATTTTGATTCTTAATCGAGGATAGATGTAGATGTCTATGGGCCACAGCAACCACTTACCATCAGATGGACTGTGTGCTCGTTTGTCACCCTATCCAATAATAAAAAGTCTTAAATTTTGACATTGTGAAGGTGGAGTTTAAAGTCGAGAATGTCTCTGCATACCTACCGGCCTAGATGTCGTAATTCGACATGAAGAATTAAAAAAAAAAACCTTTTTTACTAGCCACACCCTTCCACCATCGGACAACCAGAAGTTCGGCCAGTCTTCCCCTTCGTTGTTGACTTAACACGCATTCGAACCAAACGGATTGCTACGTCGTTTATCATGCGTATAGTAAAGGAGTGGAATAAGTTGCCAGCATCTGTCTTTCCATCCGATTACAGTGTGGGTGTCTTCAAGGCAAGAGTGAATAGGTTTTTACTAAGTTAGTGCGATCCACCATCTTAGGCTACATCACCACTTACCATCAGGTGGGATTGTAGCCATAGAATACTATAATACATACATAATAGAACGGGGGAGTGGGCGGAGCCCGAGTAGCCACTAACATGTCACTAACACGTCAACTCACACGTATAAATGTCAACACGAGATGTGTTTTGACATTACAATCGTTTCCAAATTTCGCATGCAAATTATTTGGAAAATGCCGAATTGCACCCAATTTACAAATAAATATGTATTAAAATTTAATGATAATCTTGAACATTAATCAAGTCTAACATTCAACACAGCGAATCGGGTTTGGCAACGCCAAGCCTCGTATATAATAAAGTTGACACCATTCTATTTTGTATTATAGTATTCTATGATTGTAGCTAAGCGCTGGCTTAGAACAATTTAAAAAAACAAACAAAGCTTTCCATCTTAGTTCTCAGCGGTGTCAATGCAACTACATTATGATTATTAATGGAGGATTGATATACGAATGTGGGTCGAAAAGTTCGGTTAGAGAAAGGAGGGAGGATTTTTTTAACAGTCACTACTTGGTGACTGAATACAACTATAAATACCAAGTTTCAGCTAGATTGGTTCATTAACTTTTGTTGTTTTTGATATCACAGAGGAAACAAGTCGATCGGAAAGTGAACACTAACTATAGAGAAAATTAAGTTTCGTGCCGTTATTTAGTTCCTCACTAAGAAAGAAAATCACCAGAACATATTGGCATATCTAAAGTCCGTACAAGTTGGGTGCGCCAATAATGCTCACACAAAGAAGTTTTCTTCAACGCACAACTTCCTTGTGGAATCAACTACGACCAGAGAGTTATCCGGACCGATACGACTTAGAGACGTTCAAGAAAAGAGCCTATTCCTTTTTAAAAGGCCGGCAACGCACCTGCAATTCCCCTGGTGTTGCAGTTGCTCATGGGCGGCGGTAATCACTTACCATCAGGTGAGCCGCATGCTCGTTTGCCCAATCTCCTATTCAAAAAAAAAAACACTGCTTCAGAAACAGCACGGGTCGAGTTTTCGCGTGAGTTTTTGGACCTGTGTACTAAGGACAGGGATGGAATCATGAAACAAATTGTGACTGGAGAAGAAACTTAGGTTCTTCATGGACATGAGTTAAAGTAGAAATCCATGCAGTGGCATAAAAAGACGCAGCACAGCTTCAGAATTTCAAGGTGTTACAACTCTACTGGAAAGACTATGGCTTCAGTTTTTTTTTTGGGATTCAGAGGGGATTTTATTGATCTATTATAAAGAAAACGGTGTCAATATCACGGGACGTTATGCTAATAGAGAAATTTAAAGAAGTGATTAAAGAAAAATGAAGGCGTTCGAGATGTGCTCCTTTTGCACGACAACGACTTCACGAGGATCAAGTTGCGATGGCTTCCTTATGCAAGTGCGGGTATCTACTTCGAAACTTTAATCCACTCTCCATGTAGTCAAGATTGAGGCCACTGTAGATTACTGTTTGTTCCCAAATATGAAAAAAGAGCTTCGGGAAAAGAAAATTACAGATGACAAAGAAGGGAAGTCAGATATTTCTGGATATTTTCAGGGTCTTGACAAAACATTTTTTTCGAAGGTATAAGTAAGTTATTTTTGATCAGTCTGAGAAATGTATTCAGGTTAGTAGAGAATAAATATAATAATAACAAAGGAAAAATAATTTCTTCTTTAATTTCAACCCCTTTCCCTTTCATTCCGCGAACTTTCTGACCTCCCCTCGTAGGACGTAGGTTTCTTTTGAGCATAAAATTTTATAACTATGTTATCTCACCATCATGTGTGCTTGCTTATCGCCCTTACTATATATAAAAAAATCCCCACCTACTACCACCTCAAGTCCCTTCTAGGGTATAATTATGGAATGAAAGGGGGAGGGCTGCTGGGCAACTCGGGGTGTGGCCGACCCTTGTGGTAGTACGAAGCTGTTCCATATAATATACTGGGGTAATTCGGGAACTTTGATTACGTTACCCCTCTGCTCAGTAACAGAAGTGGGAGGAGTTATATATAGTGACTGAATAGGAGTTTCTTGATTGATATGGAGGATGTGTAGATGTCTATGGGCCCAGCAACTTACCATAGGTGGACGTGTGCTCGTTTCACCCTATTATAAAAAAAAAAAACTGTCGATAGGCAGTCCATGGAGTTGGTTTGGAGTCTGCTGTAATGATGATGATGATGAATGGAATGGGTTTTTGAGGACGATTACAAAAGCTTGGATTTGTGGTTTCCGATGATCGTAATTGTGGGGGTCGCCATTTTGGCAGTAGACGGAAATAGGAGATCCCCATTAAGCAAGGTGTACAGCATAGAGAGCGGCCAATGCATCATGTAGTATTACGGAGCAGTTCGATGTATATACTGGAGTAGTTCGAAAATTTCAATAGCGTGATGTTGGGATTTGTTTCGTTTCGATGGAGGCGCGACGACAGCGCCGCTACGATTGTAATTCGATGGATAATTAATAGAATCGGGCGTTATTTCATTAAGTAGCTAAGATCCGAGTAATATAATAAAATAAATAAATGCGTTACCTACCTTTCATACAAACCTTTTGCAGTCGTACACTATACTTCGTACCGTGAGATAGTCGATGAGTCGATGAGGAAGCGTTTTTTATATATACACAGTTCACCTGATGGTAAGTGGATGCTGTGGCCCATAAATATCTACATTTATCCTCGATTTAAAATCAAAACGTAGATGCGTTGTCACCCCTGAGGACTAAGATGGAACGCCTCGTTTCCAGTGAAAAAGGGTCTACGTCGAAGTATATTTGTAGCATTCCACAGATAGTGGGAGAGGATTGTGTCCAGCAGTAGAGATAATGATGTATGTTATGTGGTGATTCTTGTGATAAATCGGAACATATATAGAAAAATATTTTTGTATCACATTTGGCCAAGTTAACTGACAGGAAAAGAAAGTATTTAAAATAAAATTAAGTTAAATGTTGATATGGTTTAAATTTCTTAATTAAATGAATGACAGAAAAAAATGAGTTTTATTTCCATTTTGTAATCTGACACGTTCAAGTTACGACGGGAGAAGTCTCTGGTCGTAACTTGAATTCGTTTTGGTTTTTTACTAAAATGATATTTAAAACTATAATACTAATAACCATCGTAATTCGACGTTCGATCTACTAATTATGATCGTATGTTAAAAAGGCCGGTTAATAAAATCCCTTCCTGCAATAGTTATAAAAAGAGGATTTCACAGTCGCTTAAGTGTTTTTTTAAAGTGTACCTAGTTTCCACATTAAATTAAATAAAAATGTATTCGATCTTTGTAACTCAACAGATGGCTTGGAGGCTAAATATACAGAGAGCGCCTTCCACGGCCAGGCAGCCTTGCCCACACGTCGTAACGACGACATGTCCTTCGAGCAAATGTTATTAGATGTGAAAAAGAAACTTAACCAACGCAAAGGCGACAAGAAACGCCACGACGACACTGTGGCTTGACATTTACTTAACCTTTGCCCGATGGTTAATAAAGTGAGGGTATCCGCCGTGTTGGCTTCGCTTGTCAATCTGACAATCCAATTCGGCGGGCTCCTCGGGTGAGTGCAATGACAGTGACAGATGTCAAGTTGACATTTGCGTTAGAATTGTGAATATGAAAAGAAAGATATCAATGTTATATTCTGGAGATGTTTTTGCTCACACGATGTACCTACTTCCTTAGTTAAATTATTTAAGTACATTGTTTGTCCATAGTTTAGTTCTATTTACGTTTTGTAAATATTAGTTATTGATTTTCACTATCGCGTACATATACTTATGTATGACTCTGTTAACGCTACCTCCTATATTTTATACAATGTAGATAATAGTCTACAGCGTAGAATATAAAGTGAAATTAATTAAAAAACAAACAAAAAATTATTATTTAAACGCCGAATATTTGTTTACCGAACAAAAATGTATAGATCAAACGATAATTCATTTATTCCCTTCATTATGTACTATACGTTTTTATATCAAAGTCCTTACTTATTATAAGTTATTATAATTTATTAGTTGTAAAATATGTAATCATTATTAACTAAAGTTTAGACTAGCTGCGGAATGAAATGTTACCTATTAATTGTAATTACTTCAGTTTTTGCTCCATTACTGTTCCTTTGCAAGTGGAGAATAATATAAAAGACCTGATCAAATGGAATAAAAAAATAAATAAAGTTGAAATTTAAAAAAAAAACATTTAACATAGAATCAGAATTGACACCTCAATCCATCAAAAAAAGATAGATAGAACTCTTCAAGCATTCAAGTGATGCTGAAACCATGCTCAAGTCCTTGACACTCGCTCACGCACATTTTCTTTGTTATTTATTAGTCCGCAAAAGTCCTCTGCTAGATACACACATTGTGCTGTTAAAACCACGATGTTGGTTGCAAAATATTTACGATGCATGTGTGACTGCGTGTTCTTACAATAACTTGAGCATCGTTTGGGCTTCTCTTGTACGTAGTGTCGGGTCTATCTTTGTTGGTCGAATCGACACATGTACCGATTTCACTGTGTCAATCTTATATTATGTGAAGATGGAGTTTCACCAAGTGATAAGAATCGCAACTATAAATTATATCTTATATTATGGAAATATTTTTCTTTCTGAGCAAATTACTTCCATTGCAATTGCATGTGCCAAATATTATGAGATTTTTTATAATGTTTATCTTCTCGATTTAATAATTTCAGCATTTTTAATTTTTGTATCATTTAGTTAAATGAAAGAAATGACATTGGTGCTTGAGGTCTATTTTTCAAATATATTGTATACGACATTATGAATGGGATAATAAGCACACAGGTGTGTTTAAGATGGTGTGTCTATCGAGCTGATATAAATCTGGTTGAGTAATTTAATATGTCTTCGAATATTTTATTCCTTGGATATACAGGTTTCCTCACAGTGTGTTCCTTCACCGCCGAGCACATATTAAGTAAACCACCTTATTAAGATGTAATTGAAAACTCTAATAGTACCGGCACAGTCTAACTCATGGAGGTTATAGAACAGGAGAACAATCGCTACGTACTTAAGCATAGCTCGTCTGTCCTTGAAAATTTGTAGAATTTATAGCGGCGCTGTCGTCAGGGAGGCTGCGAAGTTAGCTTTTATGGTGTCCATATCGTTCGTCGTGCGGTCGTTCACCTGTTCTCTTACCTCCATGGTCTAACTACTACTAACAGCCGGTCATCGAAGGCGTTTAGACGTGGCAATCGTAAGGTGAGGTGCGTGGCGGGCGGAATGCTAGGTTGTCTGGTCACGCAAATAAATTCAAATGGTTCACACTACGTATGCGGTAAAAAACTGTGGATTATTTAAAGATAAAGAATTAAACTTATTATAACCTATATTTGTATTTCTGAACACTTAATTGTCTGGTTAAGTTACTTCATTTTTTAAACGTGAAATAAAATAAAATTAGTTTTTATTTTTATTTCCCGTTCTGACAACCCTAGAGGTACAAACGAGGTTACTTGTGAACTTACGTGATATCAAAGGCGCGTTTACCAAATATTACTGTAAAATACAACGTAGTGTCAAAATGTCAATTACTGTCATAGACAAACTTGATTTTGAACTTTTTATTGTTGCCTATGTATCAACCTTGTATATTAAATAGTTATGAATTGTACATTAAAATATCTGCATTAGAATAAGAGTTGAAAAGACTGTCTGATCAATCCATTTTTGCTTACGATATGAATATTGTGGTTTTGTAAAAAAGTATGACAATATATCAAAGCCTTAAGAAAGGAACTCTTCCTATCAGTTTTGTTTTTCTCCTCATTTAGTGTAATTTGTAAGAATTGACTTGAGAGGCTTGTATCTTGTCACTCTTGCACGTTTAGCATTTTTATAAACTTATATACTTTATAAAAGTTAAGTTAGGGGCTCACATGCACAAACATAAATAATAAATTAATTTTATATTTTCATAGATTAAAAACTAAAATTAATCTCTATGTACTATGTTGTAGTTATCTAGTATGTTGCCCTTTAAGTATTTCTAGTGAAAGTTACCAAATTGGTGGACTTTGTTAATACTTGTGTGCTTAGAACTCCCGTATTATGTTGTATTACACAGAAATGCGATTTAAGATAATATTTTAGAGACATTACACTATGTTCTTCAGTGTTGCTAGTGTTATCTATATCACTGGTCATATTAACATAATTTCGACTCCTATTTCTGACTTTATTTAGATAAATAAAAAAAAAAGACTAGTCAATGTTACTGGATGATATTGTGTTTTTTTCGTTGTGATGATATTTATTTTAATTAAATTAAGCTTATTTTTAAATGATTTTTAGCTAATAAAAATTTAAGTTCGACATTGACTCCTAGAATATTCACTTGAAGGTAGCCATTTTGGTTTATTAAGGTTAAATTAATTATCTGTGCATTCTTTTATAAAAAAATATATATTTGGCCTTTTGATTGATGGACCAATAAGTAACACTGAATTAGATTTTTATGACTAAGCAATGCACTACCATGATATTATGGGCTTGAATAGTCCTGATTATTATAGAATTTACAGTAAAGATACTTTCTGTTTTCGGCTATTTTTTAACATATGGCTACCTAAAAGTATTGTTTCTAATTCCCTAAGTAATCTCTAAGCCAGTTTTACAAACAGCAAAAATTCAAATGGAGTTAACTATTTTTTTTATTCTATGTGCTTTAGCAGATGCTAAGTTAAATGCTTGATAGGTAGTCCATTTTGTTCTGATATAATTTGGCAATACTCCGTGTCAGATAAACTATACCATAACATTTTTTTTTAAATTTATAAAATTTTAAAACTTCTCACTGAATATGCATTTCGTTGGAAAATTCCTACGTTCTAAATATATATTTACTTTATTGCTATTCTTCTAAAGTCTATTTGCTTTACCTCATTTTGTTGATAAATGACATTTATTATTATTGAAAGTTAGTTTGCCTATTGTGTCTTTAACACTATAGCATAAGGGCTAAATTCAGATGTTACATTTGTTATTAATGAATATTTCGAATATTGGAATTGACTTTGAAAGTAGAATTTATGACTGGATTTTTGTAAATATGTAATACATAAGTAGTCATTGAAATTTTAACCTTATGCGCTTGTATGTAACGTCGACGATAGAGTGGAGCGGTGAGACTGGTACGGGGTATGTACACTTTAAAAGTCCAATTTTTAGTATCGATCAATAGATGTAAAAAGTCGTAGTGTGTACATACATAATATATGGTTAACATAGTTGCGTCGAAAACGTTTTATACATAATGTTGTTGAAAAATAAAGTATTTTGAGCACAATGGCTTTATTATTTATAAAGTTTCTGGACGATAGAATCTTAACCACCAAAAAAGGCATTTTTTTTTCTTTTAGATTTGATTCTGCAATATATCGCTCACTAGAATTACATTCACACTTCATTTTCTAGTCAAGGTATCAAGTATGTGTTCTATAACTTCATCACCGTGTGATTGTCCATTGCTGTACATGAGCCTCTAGGGGGTAGGGAGTAGACATGTGTCAATTGTGAATGATCCGTCCATTTGAACCGGGTCGCATCAAGATCACTGCGTACTGTAACTCGAGATGATCCATTTGGATGGTCGGTCTGAATGTCCCGGTTCGTAAGACGAATCGATACTTGAATGATAGGATCACTAGAAATGAATGAATGACATGTCCAGTAGGGAGTAGGTAGGATTTACCTTACCTAATCGTCGCGCTTGGTTGAATTTACCAGACCTTTAACGGTGTCCGATGTGAATGAGATTTTAGTTACAGCGGCATCTGTCGGAAGCTATATAAGATCTTGGCAAATTTAATAGTCGAATTGTCGGTACTCGTGGGACGATATGAGGTAACAGGTTCTCTATGCTATTTCTATGGCTATTTCTTATTATCTATTATCTCTATGGCTATTTTCCATGTCTAAGAAATTAAAATTTAAAAATAGTTCAGAATTGACTGGGATAAATGACGACGATTGAGGATGAATGGGCCCGGGTACCAACGAAATTGATAATTGCAGTTATAAGTGCTGTGCATGTGCCCGGTGGTGTGGGAAAACATCGTGAGAAACCCTGCATGTCAGAAATTAAAATTCGAAGGCATTTGAAGTCTGCTACACGCATCGAGGTACCGCGGTGAACATTTCATGGCTCCAAAGCCCGCAAAAATGAGAGGAGGCTTGCGGTTGTAAGACGTATGTAGGTTAAGACTACATAAACTTTACTATTAGAAGATACTTCGAAAATGAAAGTTAGGGGTGACGTTAGCTAACTAGGATCATGTAAATGTTGAACCACTACGTTCTACGTTTTCTGCTGTCATTATATCATTATTTTTTAGAATAACCTTAAATTGCGGAGTTTAATTCGAAAACTCAATTGAAACCAATGCTTTGCATTTGGACACTGCACACATTGTTTTTATTTTTGTA